TTCTCCTATCACAAACGCCACTAACACTACTAGTGCGGGATCCTTCCCAACAGACCTTAGATGTATTTTGTCCAACCAGGTTCCTCCCCAGTCTAAACAAAGTGAATCTTTGAATTATTTACCATCTGCTCCTCAAGGATTCTCCTCGTCCTCAAATTATGTCCATTCTGTGCTTTCTGGACCATGTTTAGAAAGAAGATACTCGAATAATGTGCCATATTATGAGTTTCCACCATTGTTTCAGCCACGCGTTGACATTAACTCTATACACACAACTTCTTCTTCACATCAAAGTGGGGTAAATAGTCCTGTGTATTTTATAAACCCTGGATCCGGATGGACTTACAATAACAATACACCTCAGTTAGTCTTCAATTCAAAGGCAACCAAGGAGTTCGAATCATCTAGAGAGCCCCATAAGGCAAGTGGATGTGAATATACTAATCATCATGAATCATCTTCTATATTTGATTATGTAGATAATAGTCAGAGTACTTTCCATCAAGGAAATCAAACTCAAAATGGTGATCGTGAGGGAACATTTTGCGAAACAAACGAATTGGCAGAAAATGCATTGCTTGCAACAGAAGTCAATAATTATACATTCGGTGAGAGCTCATATGATTTTGATGTATGATTTTGTGAAGATCCAATTATTCCAAGGACTATATATATGGTCTGAATAAGCGTGATATGAAATCTTTAGCCTTGTTGTATTCTAGTTGTAATTGGAGAGAAAATTAATGATTCACATATGCATTTGTGTGGAGTTTTATTTTTGAGATTGTAACTCACATTTTCAGCTTATCAAAGATTAAATTATTGCTAGTATATTAATATTTTAGATATTTTGCGTTTTCTTTTTCTATAACCTTTTAAGGATGACATACAATTATTGACACCCCTAAGGACGGCCATGCACGGGCCGCACACTCGTTGCGCACGAGCTGTGCACAGATCACGCACAAACCATGCATGCCGTACGCTGAGATGTCTTTGTCATCTCAAATCTGAATTATTTCTATTGAAAGAGGAATTAAACCCATTTTTTAGGTTATAGAGTAATATCCTGTCATATTTACGAGTTATTTATAGTATATAATAATTAGATGATTTGTAAAATCCCATGTAATCCTTTTGTAATTACTCCCATTTCAATACTTACTCCTAACACTCTTATATAAATTATGGCTTAATACCAATATTTCCATTCAAGGGGTCTTACAAACACGTCCTTTATGGAGTTCACATACAAATCTTGGAGAGGAGTTTTCATAGTTTTAGCCCTGGAACAACATATTTATGAGGTTTGTTTATAAGTTCATTCTTTCGACTAATGACAATTAAATTAAATCTTTTCTTTCTGATTATGTTGTGCATTTAATTATGAATATGGTGTAGTTTTATTTAGAGACTTGAGATTGGTGAAGGGGCATTCTTATGATCTAGTGTTTCATTCTTGACATATTAATTGCATGCTTTTTGTTTAATTTGTGTTTGAATAATTCAATTGTTATTGTTTATGACGTAGAATGACCACTCATATTATTATATTTTTGTATTTAGAATAATTTAAAAGGGATCTAAATTATTCTAGGATACTTTTAGACATAACTAATCACTCTCTAAGAGCTAAACGCGGTTAGAGAATCGTACGCTCGCTCGTTTGACAACGATTTAGAGGCACGTCACATGACCTAAAAGTTTAACAATACTAAATAATGTTTAAAAATAGTTTAAAACCCTGAGACCTAAAAGTTACAGAAAATTTAAAATAAGGTAAAAAAAATATATTTAAACATATGAAGAAGTCATTATAAGTTTTAATTAGATAGTGACAAAAATAAAAAATGGAATATATAAAAATTAAATAAATCAATCAAATTATCATGACTATATATATATAACTATGAAACTATTCAAAAATGCAAACTAAATTTCATAAACTAGAGCGAAAATAGAAAATATAAATTATAAAATGTAAAATAAAACAGAAAATTTATTTAAACTATAAAGATTGAAAAATTTTAAAAAGTCGAAAAAACAAGAATATGAAAATTAAAATGTCTAACATGTAAAAATCTGCACAAAGAAGAGAAAAAATAAAAATATGAATTATGTAATTAAAAAATGCAAAAGTTATAAAAAAAAGTATGAATTTTGTAATATTTCTTAAAATAGTTAAAAAAATTACTATGTATTATTAGTATTATTGTTATTACTTTCGACGTATTTTTATTTTTGTAGCATATTGTTTCGTTGTGTTTCTTTTTGTTGATATTTTTTTATTGTTTTTTTACTGTTTCTTCATGTTTCTTCTTGTTGATGATAATCATAAATCCAAGTTTATCATTTTAGGTGTTTGTATATATATTTTTTTTTTGCAAACATATAAATAGACATATATTCTGTATGTTTTGTTTTTTCAAAGAAGTACCAAAAATGAATATATACATAAAGAGACAATAAAATTTAATTTCAACAAAAATAACAGTAAGAAATACGATGCAACAAAAAGCGACACAATTCAACAAAAAACAACACAATGCAATAATAAGCAACATGTGATTAACTGATTAAGATGAAACAAAAGGAAACAAAAAAAAACTATAACAGTATCACAAAAAATATATAGTTCGAGCTATTATTTGAATTTATTACATATGTATTAGACTACATTATTTGACTTTGTTCTTATCATTTCTTCTAGCTTCTTTGTGTGTATTTCGATCAACAATTAGTTGATCGGATTGTACTTCTTTTTCATGTATACACATGCAAATATGCATGCAATGAGAATAAAATCACTATGACACAATTCCATAATTGACTATTACAAGGAATCAAATAGTGGTTATTCAAAGAAGTGCACCAGGCTGGTTGATTGAGGCTAAAACTATCCGAGCTCAAACTATCGTTTATGAGTCTAGGGAATATGGCCAATACAATTCATCAACACTGCAATCCAATAAATAATGAGACGCCAAAAGTACTAAAATAGGAGCATAACTGTCAAAACTAAGGAAACACCATACATAATAATTAATAGAAGAATAGTGAAGAAAACTGGAAGGTTAACTCACTCAATTTAGTAGTGGAGTTTATCTTCAATTCTCCGAACCATCATGTGAAGCAACGAAATAGCATCGTTCATTGAAGTTTATTCCGAAGTACCAAAACTTAGAATTTGACCAAGGTTAACTAAATAATCAGGTAATGAATATTAAAAAATCAGTGGGGCATCAATCACAATGACAAATTGTTCCTCCTAGAACTAAACAAACACAATGAAACATGTAATGAATATTAGAAAATCAGTGGGGAATCAATCACAAATTTAATTGAGGAGCCATATAATTTTCTATATGCCTTTTTCTTCCTTCAATTTTACTCCACGGTACTCCCCGACATAATAAAAGGTCTTACATAAATAACATCTTATCATACAGTGAAAGAATATTTGCAATTGTGACGTGGAACTGGATATGAAATCAAACGAGAAAGAAATACGAATAGAAATTGAGGATAATGTGTTGGTAGGTTTGAATTAGGAGTCTTCATCATCAGCAAATAACACTCTGTAGTTGGTAGAAAGTAAATCAATTAAGCAATCCATATATAGCAGTATAGCACGATCCTATGAAGCTAGATTTTGAATAGAAGAAACTGGCGATTAATGCGACGAAAGCAGTGTTTGCGGTTGCTTAAAAAAGTGCTTTTCAGCTTTTGGCTTAAAAAAGTTAAAAAGAGTGTTTTCAAATGACAACTTCTGCTTAAATTAATCACTTAAAAGCTAAAAGCTGGAAGCAGGTGGAAGAGTGCTTTAAACTGCTTTTCACTTTTTCTATTACACAAAAGGTACTTATTCTACCAAACACTACCAACTTTTACTTTTTAAGAATCACTTTTTTCTCAAACACTACCAACTTTTACTATTAATCACTTTTCCTAAAATCACTTTAAAAAATCACTTTTTTAAAGTTGAAGCAATTGCAAACACTCCCGCAATCGCTTGGCTGCCTGACGATGCTGGAACGATGAATCTGAACACAACTCTATCGTGATGTTCAATCCCAGCCACACAATCCCTTCCCTCAGATGAGAGTTGGAGGGAAGAGTGGAAGACGATATCTCCCACTCTCCCAGTGTTTTTCATCCATTCGGAAATGAGAAGTGCCGGTTGAAAATCCCCTGCGCCTCTCTCCCGATATTAGTCTACTTTTTGGTTAGAACATCCACATCGATGATCTCCAACTTTACGGTTTTCCATGGCTTATTATTGACATGTCACCTCCAAATAAGATAATCTCAAATAATCCCCAAACTAATAAATTTCTCCTCATTCATGATCTTAATTTACCTTGGATAGGAGCATGAGCATTCACGAATTACAAAGTTAGTCATCACCATAATTATGAGTATATGCCTAGAAGTTGGAAATAATCTCAAAATAATCCAGCTTTAGAATTTGATACCAGATTATTTTATCAAATAATCTCATAAAATAATCTCAACTCCTCATCCATGATCCCAAAAATAATCCTCCACATCATCAAAATGATCCCAAAAATAATCTATGGATGTGGATGCCCTTACAAAATAGTCTAAAAGTGAAATATAAAACCAAAACTGAAAATCCAAAAGTTAAAATTGAAAAGAAAGAATTGTTGAGTGATAAATGATACTCCCTTTGTCCCTAAATAAACTTCCAACTTTCTTTTTTTGTCCGTCCCAATTAAAACTTCCACTTTCCTTTTTTGGTAAAGAATTTGTGGTCCACAACAATTCTTACATATTTCTCTTTCCTCTGCACAACTCTCCACCACACAATGCGCACTATGTTAAACTGTGTGCCCAACCGTTTTGGAAGTTTTATTAGAGACGGAGGGAGTGCTCCGTACTTTGTATGCTACACCCAAAAATGGGTTGTGCGGGTAATTTCCACAAAAGAAAACGGATAAAAACCAAACGTAAATGGAAAGGCTGAAGAACTGCCAAACTCCAAAAGCCCACAAACTTCAGGCCTAAGCCCATCGTCATTATCGTCTTCCCACCTCTTCCTCCAGCATCGATTTTCTAGTTCTCAGTTCTCACAATCACCAGATGTTTTTTGGTTTACGCGCGCTACCTTTCTGACAAAGGCTATAGAAGAAGTTATTATGGCTTTGTAGATGGAAGCCAGTTCCGAACCCAAGACGGCCAGTGAAATGGCCGACCTTGATGCCTTTACTGCTCTCAAACAGTCCGCTGCTATCGAACACAAGGTTCTCTCTATATCTTCTTCTTCTTCCTTCTCTCACGCGCATCCAAGATGCTTCTTTTCCCGCAATTTCTTTATTGATATGGTGATCTTCAGTGTCATTCTAAATTTCAAAATGCTCAATTTCAAAGCAACTTCATTGATTGCATTTTCTGTACAAATTTAAGCTTTTATTATTTTCAGTGACGTGGGGAATAAATAAAGCATTCTGTAAGGTTTATGTGCTCTAGAACGCACATTATTACACTCCATTATTGTCTTTCAGGAAAAGGGTAATGAGTATGTGAAGATGGGGAAAAAACATTACTCTGATGCTATTGATTGCTACACCAAGGCAATCAATCAACAGGCTTTGAGTGATTCTGAGCAATCTATTATTTTTTCGAATCGAGCCCATACTAATCTACTGTTGGGAAATAATAGACGAGCACTACAGGATGCTGAGGAGGCCATTAAACTTTGCCAAACAAACATTAAGGTTGTGCTATGAACTATGTTGTTTATTGTATGTTTTAGTTTTTCTTATGTTGAGTTCTTCCTGAATGTGATGGGTGTTTTGTAATTTAGGCATTATACAGAGCAGCCAAAGCATCATTCTCTCTTGGTCTGCTAGTTGAAGCTACATCATACTGTAAACAGGGCCTTGAGCAGTCCTCTTCCAATGAAGACTTCAAGAAACTTGTCAAACAAATTGATGTTCGCATGGCTGAACAAGAACGCCAAAAAGCTGAAGTTTCTAAAGTTATTGCATATTCTAAGGTATAAAGTTGCAATTTTTTGGAAGCGGAGAAACAGCATAGTCCGTCTCGGTGACATTCATTAATCATTTTAGCATTTTCTGTGATATATGTGCAGTGTCTTATAGCGGCCTTTGACGATAGGAAGTTAAGGATTGGGAAGGAAATCTATCAAGAACTCACAAGGTTAAAAAGGCCAATGCTAGACAAAAACAATATTCTTCACTGGCCTGTTGTAGTTCTATATCCAGAGGTTATGTCTAGTGATCTCATCCAGGATTTTTGTGAGGTAGACAGGTTTTCAGCGCATCTTGACATGATATCCTTTTTTAATTCATTCTCATTTAATGAATTTTTCAATTTGAAATTTGATTACCTTTTTATATCCAGATGGTTTCATATGATTGCATATTTGCATCTTATTTTATGTATATATATATGTAAAAAAAGCTTTTTGTACTCCTTAATGTTTAAACATGTTTTTAGAAGATTGTCAACCTTTGACCTGGGATGAAGGAAATGCTTATACCCGTGATGCTCTTGAAGTATATTATAAGGTATGTCATTACTTATTGTATTTTCACCATTTCTATTTGTAGAATGATCATCTTCAATGCTGTAATACCAGCTATATTGTTTTGTGGATCATGAAATGAGCTGTCTGTATTGCTCTCAAAATAGTATTTGTTGTAATATCTAGTTATTTAGTGAATATCTATTTGCTGATGAAGCCCTTCTTAAGCTTTTACATATACTTCCTATTTTCTTAAACTTAGTTCAGGGTTTTGTGATACTCCTTAAACAAAGTCAACAAAAATGAAACTTTTAAAATCTGTTTGGAGGGGAACACTTTAGAAGTTCAGAGAGCTGAGTCTCTCTCGCTCGCTTTCTATATATACCATTGATATACACACATGTACACAAATGCTCCAAAACCTGCCAACGGGTATTTCTTAAAGCTCAATACCCATATAAATTTGCAATATGCCCTTGAGGGATGTGTATGGTAATGTGGATGGATATAGGACCATAAGGGAATGTTAAGGGGAGGTGGGTACTTAAAAAGGATGTTTTAGACTTTTCAATATGGTGATGGGTACGCTGAGACACCTGCTGGTGGATTTTGGAGCATGCCTCTCTCTGATGTGTGTGTATGTGTGTCTGTGTATATTAGATTTTATAAAAATGATAAATTACTTTCTTATGTGATGGTATAACATTTCAACACCCTCATTTTCATTTTCAAAAACATTCTATTTATCAAGATATAGACCAAATCATCTAAACCCTTCCCCTCCAAAATCTTCCGTGCGAACTGAGCCAGTATAATGAATGCAGAATTGCAGATAATAGATTTTGTGGTTTGGTTACAAAATTTGTGTGACATGTTGTTCATTAAGCTTTGGATATACTTCGTATTAGCTTAAACCTAGTTCAGGCCTTCAGGGTTTTGTGATACTCCTTAAACAAAGTCAATAAAAATGAAACATTTAAAATCTGTTTTGAGGGGAAGACTTTAGAAGTTTAGAGAGATTAGTCTCTTGCTCACCTTCTATATATACTATTGATACCCACACATGCACATACAAATGCCCCAAAACCTGCCAACGGGCGCTTCACAAAACTAAATACCCATAAGGGGACGTTGGCATTCAAAAGATATTTTGGACTTTTCAATATGGTGATGAGTATGCTGAGACACCTGGTGGCGAAATTTTGAGCAAGCCTCTGTCTGATATGTGTGCGTGTGTTTGTGTGTATCAGTGTATGGTTATGTATTTGTGTGTATATTAGATGTTATACAAATCATGGATTACTATATTATGTGATCATATCACGTTTCAACAGCCTTTTTTCATGTTAAAAACATTCTATTTATCAAGCTATAGACCAAATCATCCAAATCTATCCTCTTTAAGACCTTCCATGCAAACCGATCCTTGTGAATTATGAATGTAGATAATATATATAGTGATTTCATTAGACATGTGACATGTTCTTTTTGAAAAATATGAACACTCTACAAACAGTAATTTTTTGTTTGCTATATCAAGCTTGTCATTGGGATCATGGGCGGATCTAGGGGATGACCAACCTAGTCCCTGGCCCACCCCAACTTTAAAAAATGCTTTAATTTGTAATTTAAAAAATTCGGTGTAGTTTTTTTTCAAATATATTCTTTGTATCGGGCTATCGGCGCAGTCCGGCCGAGTGCCCTGATTGGGGTTGATATCCAATGGCATATAGTTGCTTCTTCTGGTTTATTAATAGAATTTATTTTGATCTTGCAGGTAGGTTCTGAGATTCCTTTACCAAAGAAAGAACTTCTTGGTTATCTGCTCGAGGGAACTGCTGCTTCTAATTTGGAAAATGAGGGAGAGGGTGATATTGACACTTCTCTTGATTCAACTAGTTTATCTACTTCAATTGGTATGTTATCCAAGTATTTTTAGTTCAACAAATGTAATGGTGAACATGGAGAAGGGAATCTCTTAACAACCATACCCTCTTCTTAGGCAATGACTCCAACTGGGTGAAAGTTGATGAGAGGAAGACACTCCATGATGTGTTGAAGGAGCCAAATCATGTAATTCCTGGAATTCCAGGTATCAATGAAGTCATCCTCTCCTTTTCTTTTTCTTCTTTTTTCTCTATGGTAAATATTTGTTTTGCTTTCTGGCAGTGTTTTTTATAGTTTCAAGGAAGTCCAGCTTCTATAGTACCTTCAAATCTGGGACTTGGTCTTACCAACAGGTTGTATGACCAGGGATGTTATTGTTATTCCCAATGGGTAGAGTTTCAAAGTTCCATCATGATCCTAACGCATGGGCAGATAGTTTAAACCCTTGCTCTTCTCTGTACGATATATGTATACTAATTGAGATTGCTGTGCTAGGTTGAACTATTTAATTACACAAGGGATATGGCCATACAGGAAAGTGCTATCAGTTTTCTTCCTCCAAATTTACTTATACAGAGATTTGATTCTAGATTTTAGAAAACTAGGAGCTTGTTTGGTAACACTAATATTGGTCAAATATGATAAAATTGCTGAAATTTTAGCCGGAATAGTTGAATTAACTGAAGGTATTGAATTTTAAGAATTGTATTGATAAAATAATACTTCCTTCGTCCTAAAAGTTCTTCCCACTTTACCATTTTGGTATGTCCCAAAAAATTCTTCTCATTTCCTTGAAAATTTTGTGTGGCTCACATTCATTTACCTTTTTCTTACTCAATCACAATCATACACTTTCACTTTATTCATACTTTTTTAATAAGTGTGCCAACTTTAACGGGAAAGTATTTTTTGGGATGTAGGTAGTATAAATATTATGTGAAACAAAGTATGAAATATTATGGAGTATAATATTATGTAGTATATCTACGGAGTATAAAAACTATAATATTTTGTGAAACCCCAAAGCATAAAAACTACAAAGTATATATTTCACTAAAATATCGGTCTTCAAAGTTTACTATCATTGACTAGAAAAGTCAACCATGGCTATCTAAAATGGGACAATGCTAGTATTAAATCATTACTACGTACTCCTTCTGTCCCCTTTTAAATGTCTTGTTTTACTATATTGGGGTGTTCCTATTTAATTGTCTCATACCTTATTTGGTAAAGTTTGTGCGACTCAAAATCATTCTTACTTTATTCTTACTTTATCAATTACTATCAACCACACAAACTCATTTTTCTTAAAACTGATGTCACTTTCCGGGACATTTAAAAGAGGGCGGAGGAGGAAACTATTTTTAGACATATATATGGAGCATTACTGTGTACTTTTTTTTAGACATATATATGGAGTATCTGTGCTTATAATTTCTACTCACTTTTATATAAATTCACCAAATTTGATTATTTACATGTTCCAAAAAAAAGTTTATCAATTCCATTTAAAGTATCGAGTAGAAATTATGTGTTTAATGTTTTTTTCTCCTTTGCAAAAATTTTACTCACAAATTTTATTTTTATTACTACACGTATCTAGGTCAAAGTTGATTAAGTTTTGTGGGAGTGGGGGTATGCTTTTTGTATTTGGTCAATGAATTATTTCATCATTTATTTATGTTTGAATTACTAATTACTCGTATAATACTTTTAACCAGTACATGTGGACTACATAAATTACTACGGAGTAATTGTCATTAGAATTTGCATGATTACTGTTGTAGTATCCCAAATATTTATGTTCTGATTCATCTTATTATTTACATTACCAATTGTATCATTTTGTATCATTTTTTAAACCTTACTCTTCTGTACCGGAAAAATTATCTTAACTTTTCGATTCGTTTCGCGAAGATTATCCTACATCAAACTTGATAAAATTTGTGTAGTTCTAGATCTTTCATACTTTACTAATTTACAACTCAAATACATTTTTATTGATATGTATGTCATTCTCTCTTATATACATTTGTTAGTGGGACAAAAGGAAATAGTAAAAATGAGTGATTTCATACAAAGAGTATTGATAATAAATACTAAATAAATAAACCAATATTACTCGATAATAAATAAATATAGAGTGATGTTTGATGTACACATTTTTTGTGCACATGTTGTGTACACTTTCTTAGATGTAAGGCTACACAAGCTTATTAACGAATACTAATTATTTAGACAACATTTTCTTAGATGTAAGGCTACACATAGCTTATTAACGAATACTAATTATTTATGTAGATTGACAATGAAAGGTGTACGAAAAATATGTACAAAAATCAAAAGTGTATACGGAGTATACAACAGCTTTTTCCATAAATAAAAAGAGTCGTAAAAGTAGTTAAATACTCAGTATGTATAGAATTAGAAGAAATTTCAAAGAGAAAGAGTCGTTCGTTTTCACCCGAGAATCTCACGATCTGTTAGGGATCTTCCAGATATTCGGATCTCGTTCACCTCCACCCGTCTTTATATATCACACTCCCATTCCCCTAAACAGTCAATCGAATCCATCTCGATCTTCCGATGGCGACTTCCACTTGCTCCGCCGTCGATCTGATGCCACTTCTCGGTGGCGCCACCAATGCCACCGCTGCGGCGCAGTTCATCTGCGATCAATTCAACACCGTATCCGACAAATTCGCCGATACTGGCCACGCCGTTGATACCAGCTTCCTCCTCTTCTCCGCCTATCTCGTCTTCGCTATGCAGCTTGGCTTCGCGATGCTCTGTGCAGGCTCTGTAAGGGCGAAGAACACGGTAAATATAATGCTCACGAACGTGATCGACGCAGCCGCCGGCGGTCTCTTCTACTTCCTGTTTGGCTTCGCGTTTGCCTTCGGAGGCCCTTCTAACGGCTTCATAGGCACCCGCAACTTTGGCCTCTCCGGATTCCCGTCGGAATCGTTTGATTTTAGCTACTTTCTCTACCAGTGGTGCTTCGCAATCGCGGCGGCCGGAATCACCAGCGGTTCGATTGCAGAGAGAACGCAGTTCAGCGCGTATCTACTCTATTCGTCTCTCTTGACGGGCTTTGTTTACCCGGTCGTGGCCCATTGGTTTTGGTCCGGCGATGGTTGGGCCAGCGCTTCTAGATCCGACGGAAATCTTCTGTTCGGATCTGGAGTCATTGATTTTGCTGGTTCAGGCGTTGTTCATTTGGTCGGCGCCGTTGCAGGGCTTTGGGGAGCCCTAATCGAAGGCCCTCGGATTGGCCGGTTCGACCAGACCGGTAAATCAGAGTCGATCAAGGGTCATAACGGGGCGCTGGTTGTTGTGGGCACTTTCCTTTTGTGGTTCGGGTGGTATGGGTTCAACCCGGGTTCGTTTGTCACTATCTCAAAGGCTTATGGAACCGGAGGCTCGTTTTACGGCCAATGGAGTGGCGTTGGCAGGGCGGCAGTGACAACCACGCTCTCAGGATGCGCGGCAGCTCTGACCACGCTTTTCGCGAAGAAGATGCTGATCGGGCATTGGAACTTGACTGACGTCTGCAACGGGTTGCTTGGCGGGTTTGCGGCAATCACTGGCGGGTGCTCGGTAGTCGACCCGTGGGCTGCCATACTATGTGGGTTCGTGGCGGCTTGGGTTCTTATTGGGTGCAACATTGTGGCGGAGAAAGTGCATTATGATGACCCGTTGGAAGCGGCGCAACTACACGGCGGGTGTGGAACATGGGGGATAATATTCACGGCGCTTTTTGCAAAGAAAAAGTACGTGAACGAGGTGTATCCCGGTGTCCCTGGAAGGCCATACGGGTTGTTTATGGGAGGCGGAGTGAAGCTGTTGATGGCTCATCTGGTACAGATTGTAGTGATCTTTGGATGGACGAGTGTGACGATGGGTCCGCTTTTCTACGTGTTGCACAAATTGGGGCTTTTGAGGATATCGCACGAGGAGGAGACGGCTGGAATGGACCTCACTAGCCATGGAGGTTATGCTTATAATGATGATGACATTAGGGAAGCCAAGAAAACTGATTTCGCCATGGTCACCCAGCAAGTTTAATTCATTCAATTCATTAATCAATTATTAGTTTAGATGTGATTATGATGTAGGAGTGCAATATTGCATGAAATAATCAAGCTATACTATTTCATTCATTTTATTATTCATGATCTCTTCCTCTAGCGTTTATCTTAGAAACTCACTTCACAGTTTGCATACTAGATTCGCACCCGTGCGATGCACGAGACAAAATATAATCAAATGATGTAAATCTTTCTTTTACATGAAAGATCAAGAATAACATCAAAGGTTTTATAGAATTATAAAAATAATAAGAAAAATATAATAATTATAATATACGATAGTAATATAGAATACTACAGAATAACTCCTTTCCCACATAAATTAGTGATCCCTATTTCAACCATATTGATCTTTTAATCGTCAAGTGAATTCTATATTATTGTGCTCAACGTTGCCTTATTTGATGGCTCGAGCGGTCACGATGATCAAGGGATAACCAAAGAATCTTCGAGCAGTCTACTTTCCTCTCGTCTTTTGGGTATATACTTAACAAATTCGTTCTTCACTTTAATTCATTTTTGAACTCTTATGAATTATTGGATGAACATTGACAAAATATACTTACCATATATAAACACTCAAGAAATGTGTTAACTTGGACTCAAACAATTATGCGTGATTTTAACGCTATTAAAATATACTTATATTTCACATTAAACCATTTATTCAAAATAAATTAGTTTGTTTTTTTCCTAGCAAATTTTAATCCAACAAACAACCCGATTTTATATGTATATAATTAAAATGTACGGAGTATAAAGAATTTCAGTTATATGGATGCAGGCCAATAGTATTAGGACCCAGTCCAGCCCATATACAGATTCACCTCAGCCTATTTGCAGTTAAAGCCCAACCCAGTACACCCAAATAACCTAAGTATAAATTTCATAACCTGTCCCAAACCCCCCAAACCCCAAATATGAGTAAAATTAACTCATTGTTCTCAAATAGAACTATCATTGTTTTTTGTAAGTAGGATTCATTCACTCCAAACACACATTGTTCTTTTAAGAGCAAGAACAAGAATTCATTGTTCTCAAATAGAACTTTTTAGAGCAAGAGCACATTGTTCTTTTTTTACTACTGAATAAATCCAATTTTTAGAGCAAGAGCATAACAGTGATACTCCTATTTACGTATAAGACTCTTGTTCTAATTCTACTTATGGTAATCTCTTTAATAATACAGAGTATAATATTAATAATTGTTATAATTTATACATAAAGAAATCTGAAATGTTGATTAACCTCTGCCTACGATTATACAACAACATCCAAGCCTTAGTCCCAAACGATAATGGGGTCGGCTAACATGAATCGATACATGATATCACCAAAAGGAAAAGAAAGAAAATAAAGGTTACAAATAAAGAAATCTGAAATGTTGAATAACTGCCTACCATTATAGTGCAATTTTTTCCTTTTCACATGAATTATTTACAATAAGTTTCTTATATCCTCATTGAAATGAAAGGTTGAAGTCTCCATGCAATTTTGGCTGCGCCCACCAGGCATAAATAAAGATTAAGATCTAAAGCTGAAAATCCATTATAGATGCATTTTAACCCTTCCCAACTCAACTTGTTTTATAGACCTCATTCTCAAATGAGGTAATAACAAGAAAACAAGAACGATATCATAACAATACTTACTACAACAACAAAGTTTGGATCAGAATATAATTCTTACTGCATTATGTCGTTCCAATCTCACCAGCCTTTGTGTGGTTGAAGATGAACCAAGAAGTTTCCCATTTCCAGAGCATGAACTACAGGAACGGGCAGCATTGCATTTGGTGCAGTAGCTCCACTTTTTAGGTAGCCTGTTTAGAAGGTGTTAAGGATGTGTTTGAGGAAGTGTAAAGGGATACAGCGTCTACATAAATGAAAATATGATGAAATATACCCTGCTGTATATCTGGTTGCCGCATTCTGTGCCGTTGCCCTTGCCTTCACAGCACTTTCCTCGGACATCTTTTTCACAAAAAATCCTTCACCTTTGCACCCTGAACAAATACCAGTTCCCCCACAGCCTTCGCACATCTTTGTTGGGACCTGATTATGAACAAATTAACCTAGGATTTTGAATGAAGAGGCCTAAAGATGTTTTTATGTTATGGTCTATAATTTCATTTTCTTGAATTCATACTTCAGGTTCTATCCTTTTTTTAAATCTTAGTCGAAATGACTGCTTGTTAGAGCATAATTAGATTTGACATTTCACACTAAAAGATCTATAAGATGAGTAGCTCAAGTCAACGACTAACGTGGCTAACATAAGCCCAATTTGGCTTTTTTGAGGTTTAATTTACAGCAGCCTAAAAACAATAGGATATAAAGAAACGATATGTAGGCCAAAAACGCATTTAGAAACATTAGTTAACGGTTAATCATTACATCCTATTAAAATTTTACAGAGATTAAGAGAACTGCCTCAATAATCAGAACACAATACTTTTACCAATGCATGTCACTTTTCTTTTATTTACTAGTAAAACTGTATCCTTTTCGTCGCATTAAAAAGAAAGACTGAGGAGGTTATTTACTTGGAGTTGAGGTATGCACCTCAACTGAATTAGAAGCTTTAGTTCTTCGTATAAGAAGAGTAGTGGCAGCCCCAACAACTGTGGCAGCAACTCCAGTAGATGCTAGTGTTTCCGGTAATGCATATGAAGAGAGTTCTTTCCGGGCATGTAAATTTGATCTCTTGTCATCTCGGGAACCAGTGCTTCTATTCAATGAGTAAGAATAGTGATGAGTATATGGCCCAGGAAACCCCGGCCCACAGACTCCTACTTCTCACACGCAAGCCCATTGAGCCCAGGGAGCATCTCAGGCCCAAATGGTGCGGTCCAAGCCTCAAAGGAGCCCAGAACACACGCTGGGGTGCCTTCGGCCTCCTTGGCCGAAGGCTCCAAATTACACAGGGCAGCCAGTTTTGAACATAAGGAGCCGCCGGGAGAAAACTCGTAAAAAGGTAGCCCTCGGCTATCAGGGGCCTTCGGCACACAAGGTGCCCTCGGCGACAGAGGAGCCTTCGGCACCCACACGCCTTCGGCTACATAGAGCCCTCGGCCGGCTACTCAATCATCGAAGATTCCTTTTGGAGACAGCCAACCACCGCATTTAATACGACGTCACATCCACCCACCGCATTCAATGCGGTGAACGTGCCACTGCCAGTGCCACCCGATTGATGTGACCCTTCGGCCGTTGGATTACTGACACGTGTACCCTCATCGCATTTATTGCTGCTATAAATAGCAGCATATTTCTCCTTATAAACGATCCAGATCCCAATCCTCACACTCTGAGTTCATTTAATAAAATCGACTCTCTCTCCTCCTATTTGCTCTGACTTCTCTCTAAGTTATTCCCGCAATAACCCCTCGGATAAGATACCCCCCGGGTAGACTATCCATCATTTGGTGCTTTCATTTGGTGCTCTCGTTGAGAGGTCTGAACAATCAAGTGAGAAACCCTCCCCCCTTCACCAAACAAAAACACCTACCAAAATGGGAAGAACAACCCGTGCCCAATCTAAAAACCTCGAGGAGAACCAGGTAGCCCCCGGCGACGGTGCTGAAGCCTCCAACAGGCTCTTGGTACCCGAGGGCGGTACTATCCTCAAATTAGAGCAGGCCGCTAATGACCTCCGTCAACAATTGCAGAAGAACGCCCCCGATGCCCGCATTGGCCTTGATAATCGAAGGAGGGGTCGGAGTGAGAACCAAGTTCCCCCTCCGGCCCCGGCCATCGATCTTCAGGCTGCCTTTGCGGCCTTTGTCCAAAACATGGCCCTCAACCCTGGAGCCTTCGTCTTACAGGCACCCCTCCAGCCCCACGCTGGAGGAAATATCGTCCAGTTTCCACCACTCCCCCCTCTGTTCAACAATCCTCCCCTTGGGGTTGGCAACGCCGAGGGGGTCATAGCACAGGATACCGCCTCCCAAGAGGCCCAATCCAAGGACAAGCGTCCCATGAACAGGGAGAAACCCCGAACCTCTGTACTCGAGAGGCTAGGGGAAGCTCCCGGCCACCGAGGGGTCCAAGACCGCCTCGGTAAGCCGGCATTCAGCAGGCCCCAGGAAAGCGGAGCCTCCGCCTCGGGTGCCGAGGGTATGCCTCCTCCGCTTGACAAAGGCAAACGCCCCCTCCACGCCGATGACGCCAGGCACCAAATCAATCAGGCTCAGTCCTTCCGGGCCAACTCTCAAGGGGTTGTCCCGAAGGACCCCAAAGATGAGATTATCGAGGCCCTCCTCCGTCAACTTGAGGAGACACGCCAGGCACCACCTACGGCTTCCACAGCGAGACCAGACTCGGAGTATGCTGACCTCCGGGCACAAGTGGAGGAAATGAAGCGCAAACTCGCCGAAGGCTCAGGCGAGCCCCTCATTCAACTCCGCACTAAAACGCCTTTCACCCCAAGGGTGCTGGCGGCAAAGATCCCCAACAAATACCGGGGACAACCCATCAAACCATATGAGGGGAAGACGGATCCCCAGGAACATTACAGCAGGTATCAGAATAGTATGATGATGATGGGAGCATCGGATGAATACTTATGTCGTTGGTTCCTTTCCACCTTGGAGGGGCCAGCGTATGAGTGGTTCAACCGATTACCCGAAGGCAGCATCGATTCTTGGCAAGAACTTGCCCACCGCTTCCTCACGCAATTCGCCGGGAGACATCGGTCCAAGAAACACTTCTCCCACCTTCTGAATGTGAGACAACAGAAGGAGGAAACCCTTCGGAGTTTCCTAGAGCGCTGGAGGCAGGCCTCCCTTGAGGTCAAAGGCGCCGATGACAGAACCTTGATGGCCCTCTTCCACACCGTCCTCCGCAACGGCAACTTCTCCCGGAGCCTTACCACTGATCCCCCCCGCGATTATACAAAGGCCCTCCAGTGGGGGGACCGTTATGCCGAAGCAGAGGAGATCGAGAAGGATCGCCGTAACACGGATCCTTCCCAAAAGAATGAGGGCAGAAATCTGCTCGGGGGGCCTCCCCCTCCGGCCAACCGTGATGCACAGTATAACGATCGCCCCCGAGGTGGCCAAGCCAGACCCGGGGGCGGTTACAAGAACAATCCGAAGGCATGGGCGCAACCCGTCCTCCTTGAACACCCACACACTCCCCTGACGCATC